TGGTAACTCTACCCCTTGAAATGAACCTTGCCGTGAAATTCAGAGATTGATTGCGATGCGGGATTGGACGGCGAGCTTGGTTACGGGGCTGTAATTTCGTCGGCACCGTTGGCGAAGTCGGCGAGGGGTCGGAGCTTGACTTTTCTGCGTTTCGTTATTTTCGCGCGAGGGTGTGGTTTGGGCTGCGTGTCTTCAGGTGGGCGCCCAAATGCTGGGAGGGGGGGCTGACCAATCCCAACCTTACGTGGTTTGGGAGTTTGAAGCCTCCAACTAGCCGGTGGGTTGGCACTGTGCGGCTGCCCAACAGTATCAGTGGGCTGCCGCACTGTTGCATTACTCCCCCCCCCAAGAGGCGACGTCCACGGCGCCAAACCATGGCTGGTTAAGTAACGATTCACGGCAGTCGCAGCACGGTCAAGGTGGCTCTCGGGTTCCCACAAGTCGTCACTGGCAGGCTGGTCCTTCCAGTGAACGAGAAACTCACGACCATGAGGTGTGTCGCGGTGAGCAGTGATAGATGCAACCTCAAACAGGCCGGGGCTGCCTTCGAACATCGGTGGCAAGTGGCGGGAGGCTGGTCGGTCTGGTGAGGGTGCACGGAAAGGGCGGAGGCGCTGGACATGGAAGACGGGGTGAATCTTCATATAGCTGGGCAGTTGGAGCCGGTAGTTGACTGGTGAGAGGACTCGGGTGATAGTGAACGGGCCAATGAAGCGAGGGGCGAGTTTTCTGGTTGTGCCTTTGCGTAGGAGAGGTAGGTGGTCAGTGGAGAGTAACACTTGATCGCCAACCTTGAAGCGGATATCTTTGCGGTGGGAGTTGGCATAGTGGGTCTGTTTGGCTTGTGCTTTAAGGATGGAGGTGCGAGCGGCATCAATGGCTGAGTCAAGTGAGGTGAGGAACTCAAAGGCTGCTGGTGCGTAGGAGAGGTGGGAGGGTGGGGTCGTTGGGAGGCGTGGGTGCTGTCCGGTTGCGAGGTAGAAGGGGGGCTGGCCGGTGGAAAGGTGGGGCGTGCTGTTGTATGCGAGTTCGATGGCGGAGAGGTGGAGGTCCCAATCTGTTTGGCGAGCATTAACCTGTGCACGAAGGGCGTCTTCAAGCGTGCGGTTCATCCGTTCAGTTTGTCCGTCCGTTTCAGGGTGATATGCGGTAGAAAATTTCAGTCGGGTGCCTTGAAGCTTGAAGAGGCTTTGCCAAAAGTTGCTCAAGAAGCGAGGGTCACGGTCTGAAATGATGGCGGATGGGAGGCCGTGTAAGCGGACTATGTGATCGAAGAAAAGCCGGGCTGTTTCGGGTGCGGTGACGGTTGTGTGCGTGGGGATGAAATGGCTCATTTTGGAGAGTCGGTCAACGACGACTAGGATGGCGTTGTAGCTGCGGGGTGTGCGGGGCAGGTCCATGATAAAGTCCATGGTGACTTCATCCCACACTTTGGTAGGTGGAGGGATGGGCTGAAGGAGTCCGTAGCGGTTGGTGGTGCGTGCTTTGAGTTGTTGACAGGTTCGGCATGTGCGTATGAAGTCACGCACATCAGAATGCATGCGTGGCCACTTGTAGTCGTTGGAGAGGTGAGAAAACGTCTTCTCAACGCCGAAGTGGCTGCCGGTAGCGGTGTCGTGGTACTCGGAGAGTAGTAGTTGCCGTAAGGAGCGATCAGCAGGGACACAAATGGTCTTCGTAACACTGTTATACCAAAATGGGTCTTCAAATGAGTAGGTCGGGTCCTCGGGTGCGTGCTTCACAAAAAACAGGTCACGTTTGTAGGCGCGCTGAAACTTCGTGATGAAGGCATCATCCCATGTGATGCTGCTGGTTCCATGGAGTTGCAAGGGTGGGTTCGGAGTGTGAGGTGGAGGTGATGAGGTGGGTCTGGTTGGGGAGTGTTGGGGCTGGTTGGTGGGTGGGTGGGGCTGGTTGGTGGTTGGTTGGGGCTGGTTGGTGGGTGGTGGGGCTGGTGGTGGTGGTCGGGACAAGATGTCGGCTGGATTGAGCTTTCCGGGGCGGTAGATGATCTGAAGTGAAGGGACAAATTGCTCCAAAAACTCAGCCCATCGGGCTTGGCGACGGCTGAGCACGGGCTGTGTTTTCAGGTGTTGAAGTGGGCGATGGTCGGTGTAGACGGTGACGGGCTGCAGCTCCACGTAGCAGCGCCATGTCTTGATTGCATGGACAATGGCAAGGAGCTCCCGATCGTGTGTTGCGTAGTTGCGCTCTGCCGGTTGAAGTTTGCGTGACTCGAATGCAAGTGGCTGCATCCCATGTCCGTGGTCTTGGCAAAGAATGGCACCAACAGCGACATCGGAGGCGTCGGTCCATATGAAGTATGGCCGTGATGGATCAGCGACGGTTAGGACCGGTGCAGAGGGGAGTGCCGATTTGATTGCGGTGAAAGCGGTCTGCTGCGGTAGTCCCCACTGAAAAACAGCTCCTTGGCGGAAGAGATCGGTCAACGGAGCGCAGATGTGAGAGAAGTTGAAGATGAACTTTCGGTAATACTTGGCGAGGCCGATGAAACTTTGCAGCTCCGCTACCGTGCGTGGTGCTGGCCAATCAGCAAGGCACTGGACCTTTGCGGGGTCCATAGCAATGCCTTTGGAGCTGATGACATGGTCGAGAAAGCCGATGCTTGAACGGGCGAAGGTGCACTTGGAGAGCTTGGCGTAGAGGCGGTGTTGGCGGAGCGTGTCGAGGACGATGCGTAGGTGCTGAGCATGTTCTTCAAGGGATTTGCTGAAGATGAGGATGTCATCGAGGAACACGATGACAAAGCGGTCGAGGAAGGGCCGAAAAATGTCATTCATGAGTCCCATGAACGTGGCTGGTGCGTTGGTGAGACCGAACGGAAGTACTCGGAACTCGAAGTGGCCGTAGCGGGTTCGAAACGCCGTCTTGTTGATGTCGTCTTCGGCGAGGCGGATTTGGTGGAAACCGGAGCGTAGGTCAAGCTTGCTGAAAACCGTTGCTTCCCCAAGCATGTCAAACAACTCCTCGACACGGGGCAGCGGGTACTTGTTCTTGATCGTGATGGCGTTGAGGGCGCGGTAGTCGATGCAAAGACGCAGGTCACCTTCCTTCTTGCGAGTGAAAAGCACGGGGGCAGCGTATGGTGAGGTGCTGGGGCGGATGAAACCTTTCGCAAGAAGGTCGTCGAGTTGTCGTCGAAGCTCCAAAAGCTCAGCAGTGCTCATGCGATAGGTTGGGCGCACGGGCGGTGTAGAACCTGGAATGAGGCGGATGCTATGGTCAATAGCACGCTCGGGTGGAAGTTCGGCGGGTAGATCATTGGGAAACACATCCGTATAACTGTTGAGCAGAATCTGTATGATTGTTGGCAGAGAAGTAGTTGATGCTTCAGATTCGGTAGCCGTGAAAATGACGAGGAGATGATGAGGGGGAGGTGGTGAAGGAGGGGTGGGGGCTGGTGGATTGATAATTTCAGAGAAAGTGCGGAAGAGGTAACGACGTGGCTGCTGGGTTGGGTGGGGTGGGGAAGGAGGAGGTGTGTTGATGACTTCGGGGGAGCCGGGTGGTGTTGGCTGTTGCGCGGGGGCTATGAGAGGAGGAGGGAGAGGGGGGGATATGGGAGGCTGGAAGTGGGGCAGGTTGGGGTGGATGGGTTGATGAGGCTGAAGTTGTTGGGGATGACCATGGGCGGCGGTAGGAGCGGGATGGGAGGTCGTAGTTGCCGACGGTGACCGTTGCGTTACGCCAATAAATTCGCGGTCCAAGCTGGTACAACCACGGTCGTCCGAGCACGCCTTCGTAGCCGCCGAGATGCATTTGCTCGAACGTAACCGTCACCTCGAGACTTCCAAACATGCAGTGCACGGGGAGGAGGGTAGGTCCGCAGCGCCGTCAAGTACCATCTGCCATGATCACGTCTTGCGGGTTGCTGTTGGGATCTTCGGGGAGAGAAAGTTCAGCAGCAATTGAGGGAGAGAGGAAGTTAGCTGAAGCGCCGGTATCAAGTAGAAAATCGACGTAGCGATCTTTGATTTTTGCGTAGAGAATGATGGCGGGGAATGGGGCGTTTGATATGGTGTAGAGTTCACAGGTGCCGATGGATAATGGGGTCGGGAGAAGCGGGGCATGCGATGCGCCAGAGGTCTGCCCCACTGCTACTTGCGCTGTCCGTTTCCCGGTGACCTTTCGAAGTTGCGGCGATTTGGGCAATGTCGCTTGATGTGACCAACTTTCCCGCACGAGTAGCACGTGAGGGTGGACTGGTTGCGTGTGCGCTGGTCCACCACACCGAGCTCCATGGGAGTAGGACCGTTGATGTGGTTGGTAGTTCCAGCAGTGGTATGTTGCCCGGTTCGTCCTTGGAATCGCTGGTACGCTGCAAAGTTGATGGTGTCAAAACGCTCGGCGACACGAATCATCTCATCCAACGTCGTAGCGCCACGGAGTTCAACCTCGGTGCAGATTTTTGGCTTCAGCCCACGCTTGAATTTGTCCATCTGTTCAGCAGCAGGGATGTCAGGAATCTCAAGCACGAGCTCGCGGAAGCGGTTGATGTACTCAGCGACCGAGCGATGCTGGCGTAATTCAGCGAGGTTGTCACGCGCGCGCTCGATGGCGTTGACCGGTTCGAAGTTCATTAGGAGCGATGCAGAAAATTCTTCCCATGTTGAAATTGTAGCGTGGCAGCTCTGCCACCAAGTAGCAGCAGCTCCCCGCAGCATCATGCCGGCGTGCCGAGCCCACTCCGCCCGGTTGACATGACAAAGGGAGAGGTATTCCTCCACTTGGAAAAGCCACCTTCGCACAGGTAGGTCTCGTTTTCCAGGGACAAACAGCTCAGGTTCCGGTGCTTTCAGACGTGCAGAAACCACAGCAGGTGCTGGCGCCGGCACCTGTGTGCCCAGGAGTCCACGTTCCTGGAGTTCGCCGAGAATCCGGTCACGCACCTCGCGTTCAATTTCTCGGTGCATATTGGCGACAAACTCATTCCACAGTTACGGAGTCATATCCGACGGCCCAGCCATAGGGTCTAGAATATGGCGGGAGCATGCGAAGTGACTAACCAGGCTCTGATTACCAGTGAAACGTTGCTGGCAGGAGATAGCAGCCTTAGTAGGCTAGGAAAACGGGTACGAAGTGCTCTCTGGAATTCTCTGGAAACTGCATTATGACTTGAACAAATTTCACACACAACTTTATAGGATGCATTCACAAATCGAGTCGCACTACCAAGTCGCGACACTCTGAATTTCTTATTGGCAATTCTACCCCTTGAAATGAACCTTGCCGTGAAATTCAGAGATTGATTGCGATGCGGGATTGGACGGCGAGCTTGGTTACGGGGCTGTAATTTCGTCGGCACCGTTGGCGAAGTCGGCGAGGGGTCGGAGCTTGACTTTTCTGCGTTTCGTTATTTTCACGCGAGGGTGTGGTTTGGGCTGCGTGTCTTCAGGTGGGCGCCCAAATGCTGGGAGGGGAGGCTGACCAATCCCAATCTTACGTGGTTTGGGAGTTTGCAGCCTCCAACTAGCCGGTGGGTTGGCACTGTGCGGCTGCCCAACAGTAACAGTGGGCTGCCGCACTGTTGCACCGCCTCTTCTTTGACAGTGCATCTCATGTAGCTCTACTGATTTTGCCTCTCTTCAGCTCTCACCCTCTCTCTCATTCGCTCTCTTCCCCCACTCTCACCCATTCCCAGCCTACCGTGTAACTCCACCTTGCCTCCATCATTTCGTTTCCCCTCATGGCACCCACTTTTGTCTCTTTCCAAACCTCACAAAAGGTTGCGGCACAGGATCCTAATTGGGACTTCTCCGATGGGGGCGACGCAAGCAGTGACATCAGCAGTTCAGGAGATGGCGCCAGCGGAGGCTTGAGCAGCAACGGAAGCAACAGTGAGAGCAACCTCATAAATGACAGCAACAGCGGCAGTAGTAACAGTAGCAACAGCGGTGATACAGGCACTGACGTCGAAGCTTCAAAAGATGACGCCAGCGACGGCTTGAGCAGCAGTGGAAGCAGCAGTGAGAGCAGCCTTGGCACTAAGAGCAACAGCAGCAACAGTGAAAGCAGCAACGACAGTGACAGCAGCAGCAACAGTGACAGCAACAACAGTGGCAGCAGCAGCAGCAACAGCAGCAACAGCAACAGCAGCAGCAGCAGCAGCAGCAGCGACAGCAGCAGCAGCAGCAGCAGCAGCAGCAGCAGCAGCAGCAGCAGCAGCAGCAGCAGCAGCAGCAGCAGCAGCAGCAGCAGCAGCAGCAGCAGCAGCAGCAGCAGCAGCAGCAGCAACAGCAGCAACGACAGTGAGAGCAACAGCAGCGATGATGACTATCCGTGTGGTCCTCGAGGGAGGGAGTGCTACGACAGTGGGGCACCTGGGGGCATGTACTGCCGGGGTGAGAACGAGCCGTGCATGCAGGAGGAATGGATGTGTGAGAATACACACAACACCCTTGTAAGCCACATTTTCTGGCCTTAGATGCGTCACATTCCTACCGACCCTCATCCTCCTGCTTCGGCACTTCCCCTCTCTGCCAATTAATCCCTCCCATTGTGTTTCTCACTCTCAGCCTCCCCCATTAATTCCTCTGCTCTCTCTCTCCCACTCTTCTCTCCACTCACATCCTCTCTCCTCTGATACCATCTCCCCTTCCACGCTCTCTCCCACTCTCTTTTGAATCTCTCCTCTACACCCTTTCCACCCCCACTCACTCCTCTTCCAATCTCTCCTCCCCTCTGTCGCGCCTTCCCTTCACTCCCAAGCCCACTTCATGCCCATAACTCTCCTCGTTTCCCCCTTCTTGCCTCTCCAGGCTGTGTGTGATGACCTCTGGTCATGCAACATCACCTATGGCTCGGGTTACTGCTGTGTGGATCGCTATAGTGACCTAGACGAGGTCTGCGGGCCAGGCTGCCAATACTCGGACCAGGTTCGCTGCACCGAAACCAACAAGTGTGTGTAGGCATGCGACGGCGTGTCCAACTGCCCTCTAATGAAGCACCCTGTAACAAACCAGACCCTGCCATATGGAGAGGACGAGAATCCCGAGGTGTGCAAGACGAAGGAGAACGGGTACTTCAAGTGCCAGCGGCAGCAGAAAGTGATTGTTCCGGGGTTTGAAGAGGAGGGGGGCGTGTGGGTCGATGTGTATATTGATGCCTCGGAGGTCTGCGATGGGAAGAACGATTGTCCTTTAGGGGATGATGAAGGAGACACCTCTGCTGGTGCTGCTGCTGCTGCTTTAATTGACGATGAGGATCCAGAGATGTGCAAGAGTTATAATTGCGCATATGGATACTGGAAGTGTCCGGGAAGCACCCTGTGTATTTGGGAAAGACAGAGGTGCGACGGCAAGAACGACTGCCCGGTCACCGCCATTGCAGCCGATGGTGCAGCTCAGGGGATGCATGATGACGGCTCAGATGCTGCTTCGCAAGGGGTGGCTACAAGTGGCGGATCACCTGTTGATACTAGCTCATCCACCACTTTTGGCTCGGCCACCACTGCCGGTTCACCTGCCCTTCTGCCTTACACAGCGGACGAGGACCCTTCCCTCTGCCGCTCATTTGACTGTGGTTCACGATGGCCTTGGCCCAAGCAGTGCCCTTCTACCGACCGCTGCCTGCCATTGGAACAGTGGTGCGGTGGGGTCAACGATTGTATTGATTACAGCAACTACAGTAATAGAAGCACCAGTGCTGCTAACGGAGCTGCTTATGCTGATGACGAGGATCCAGAGGTGTGCCGAACGTTTCGGTGCCACTGGGATTACGAGAAGTGCCCCAACAGCGTTCAGTGCGTGCATAAGTCCCGCTTCTGCAACGGTATCATCGACTGCCACGTCAGCACGGACCCCAGATCAGCAAACGTCTCTGCCACGTCAGCTGGTGGGAATGGCAGCAGCAACAGTAGCGGCAGCAGCAGCAGCAGCAGCAGCAGCAACAACAGCAGCAACAGCAGCAGGCAATGGTTGCATGAAGAGGAGTACGGATTCTGTGAGAGCTGGAGCGAGACTTGTCGTCAGTGGTGGTCCGGGCTGCGTGTGTGTGACAACAGCCCATACTGTGTCAACAAGAGCATGAGTGCGGACCTGGTGAAGAGCCAGTGCAGTGGTAAGAAAGGGCTTCAACATGCCATTCCTCCCCCTCTTCCTCTCTCTGCTTGATTCTTGTCCTATATGTGTCGGTGCGACAACCACCCATACTGTGCCAACAAGAGCATGAGTGAGGACTTGGTGAAGAGCCTGTGCACAGGTACGACGAGATTGCTTCCAGCTCTGGATGAGTAGGCACGTATGGCCGTTGAGGTGACTCAACAATGTTTCTCTACTCGCTCTTGTCCCTTGATATTTGCACTGCTCTCAGCTCTGGATGAGCAGACATGTATGACCTCTGAGGCGATATAAAAGCAAACCCCCCTCCACTTGCTCTTGTCCCCCGGGTGATTGCTCTGCTCCCAGCTCTAAATGAATGGGCGACGATTCAGAAAGACGCTGCTGCTGCTGCTGCTGCTGCTGCTGCTGCTGCTGCTGCTTCCGCTGTTGCCGCTGAAGCTGCAGCTGCTGCTGCAAAGAAAGCTGGAAATTCGACTACTGCAGCTGCCAACACTGGTGCTGCGAGCGGTAACTCCATCTCAGAAAGTGATAACCCTGTTACTCCATCAAACAGCTCCACTGAAGTTGTTGCTGCTGCTGGTACTGCGAGCAACTCCACCTCAGAAAGCGGCAACCCTGTTGCTCCATCAGGCAATTCCACTGAAGCTGTTGCTGCTGCTGGTACTGCGAGCAACTCCACCTCAGAAAGCGGCAACCCTGTTGCTCCATCAGACAATTCCAGTGAAGCTGTTGCTGCTGCTGGTACTGCGAGCAACTCCACCTCAGAAAGCGGCAACCCTGTTGCTCCATCAGACAATTCCACTGAAGCTGTTGCTGCTGCTGGTACTGCGAGCAACTCCACCTCAGAAAGCGGCAACCCTGTTGCTCCATCAGACAATTCCACTGAAGCTGTTGCTGCTGGTGGTGGTGCGGGAGGTAACCCAACCACAGAAAGTGGTAACCCTGTTATGCCATCAAACACCACATCAACCCCACGCCCAGGCTCATCTCGTAGGAGTGGGAAATGGTCGGAGACAAGAGGATATGCTGGTGGGGCTGATAATGGTAACAAGTCAGCGCAGGGAGGGGGGAAGGGAGTGGAGAAGGGAGGGGAGAATGGGGGGGAGAAGGGAGGGGAAAAGAGAGGGGAGAAGGGAGGGGAAACGGGAGGGGAGAAGACAGGGGGGGCTGCCATTGGAGAGAAGCAAGGGGGGGAAGCGAGTGGTGTGAAGAGGGAGACAGAGAAAGAGAGGAAGGCAAGAGAGTGGGAGGAGCGAAAGCAGCTTGCAAAGAGCAAAGAGAAGGCAAAAGAGGATGCTGCAGAGAAAAGAAAGCGGGAGGAAGAGGAGAGAAAGGCGAGGGAGGCCGAGGAAAAGGCGAAAAGGGATGAAGCTGAGAAGGCGATGAGAGAGGCAGAGAAGAGTAAGGGAAAGGACAAGGGGAAGGGCAAAGGGGGAAGCAGGAAACCACCCAAGCCACCGCCTGGAAAGAAAGCAGGTGTAAGAAGACCCAGGAAGAATCTTAGGTGATCTCAAAAGGTGTACATGAATTTACATTCTTAAGCTCTCTACCGCTTGGAAGACATGAATGTTAGCAGGTACATGATTGTGATACCGTATGCAATGTTGTTGCGTATAGAGCATGCATCAGGGGTTTGATAAGCTCGTTTTTTACCAAGTGTTTCTTCTCTGCCCACCAACCATAAAAACCACTTGATATATAACATTGAACCTCCACTTCAATTAACTGGGTAAATACAGTAATACCTACGGTATCAACCTCAAACCAGTAATGGAGCCCCAGATCAGGCTCAAGCAGCCACTGGGAGAGAGATGCAACCTAAATCTGTCCCAACTTCATTCCACGCTTGGCACAATCCTTTCCAACAGTGCTGAGAAAGTAAGGTGACAGCTTGATCGTGAAGGACTTCTTCGCCTTGTTTGTGAGCTTTGCAACCCAAGAAGCAACATCCTTGGTATTGCAGGTTTTGATTGACATCGGGTCTTTAGGGATAGCGACGTTGTGCTTGGCGCCAAAGAGGCCAGTGTCCCACTTGAAGACTGTCGACCAGAACGGGAGGAAGAGCATGCGGTGCGGTGCAGAAGGGAGGGGGGTGATAAGAGGGGGTTAGCGCACCAATGCATGGAACCTAGCTGCGGTTGCCGATGGTGGCAATCGATCGCCAATATGCTTAAGAGGTGATGCTGCCATCGACAGGGGAGAAAGGGGGCAGCCAAATGCAGGATGGTGATAGAATCCTCGTGGCACGGATAGCAACGAACCTAGACAAAACGTTAAAAATTGGTGATTGGTTCACCAGTATCCATCGACGACATTGTCCAATTCTTGAAGCCCGGCCAGCCCTTCTTGTCAGAATTCTGAACGAGAATAAATGCATTGAGAAGAAAGTGAATACAAGTACTAACCCTAATTGGGTTGTACCCCTTATGGGCTACCCCACTACAGCCTACACAATGTATGCATTATGATGTTTTACACACCCCCATAGGCAAAGTGGGGGAGAACAAGTGGTCACAAGACCAGTCAAGAAAAGCAAAGCAAGCTCAGGGTGGATCACGAAGTCACCACACATTCTGAGCACAAGCAAATGGCCACAAGGCTAGTTCACATTTAGAGCTATATAAAAGAGGGTTAAACAGTACAGTGATCATAACCTAGCAAGAGTAAGCATGCAGGTATATATATACAGTAAAGGCAAAGTCACGCAGTGAGCACGTGAGACAAAGCAGACACAAGGCCTAAACACTGATGATCACCAGGCTGAAGTGCCTTTGTGAATATATTAGCTATCAGTGTTGGCCCGTGTGGCCACGTAAGCAAGACGAAGCTGGCCACGCTGCTGCAGCTCTCGAGCAAGGAAGTAACGCAGAGCGATGTGCTTCGTTCTGTGCTCCAGTCTGTGCTCATGACACAAGGCAATCATGGCCTTGTTGTCTACGTACAGAACTGGAGGAGAATGAGGCCGCTCTCCCAAGTTAGTCAGCAGGTAGGTGAGCCAGCGCAACTCCTGTGCAGCCATGGCTCCTGCATAGATCTCAGCCTCACAACTGGAGCTGAGGACAGAAGATGAGCGGGTAGATTGCCAAGAAATAGAGCTGGAGCCAAGGCTGAAAGTGTAACCTTGTAATGACTGCTACGTAGCCAGGTCGTCAACCCAAGACGCGTCTACGTGTCCAGTGAGGACAACTCTGTCGCGTCCTCCAAGCACCAGCCCCATGCCCGATGTACTGCACAAGTAGCGCAACACCCTCTTAGCAGCCTCCCAGTGCTCTGGTCGGTGTCTCTTAGGCGCAACGTAGCGAGCAAGGATGCTAAGAGGGTACGCAAGGTCAGGTCGAGTGCAGGTCATCAGGTACATGAGGTAGCCCACAAGCTCTGGGTATGGGCCACTCGGCTCTACGGACTCGTCCGAAGGTGGAGATGAGAGCGAGTGACCGGTAGGCAGAGGAGTGGACTGTGGCAAGGAGAACCGGAAGCCGAAGCGCTGAAGGACCTGCTGCACCATATGTGACTGAGTCAGGGTGATGGTGCGTCGTGCTCTGTCCCGGGTGATCTGCAAGCCAAGATAGCTGCGCAGCTCACCAAGGTCTGTGCACGTGTGTCTCTTCTGCGACTCCGACTTCACAAGGGCCAGTGCCTCAGTGTCAGCAGTGGCAAAAACCAAGTCGTTGACGTACACGAGGATGTAGAACGGCAGCAGCGAAGTGTCGGTGCGCAGAAACAGTGACGGGTCAGTAGTCGAAGGAGCAAGCCCAAGGACCGCGAGTGTCGTCCTCAGTGTGTTGTAACTTACGAGGCGCCTGGCGGAGACCGTAGACTGGCCGTCGGAGGCTCCACTGGGTACCCTCAGGAAACGACCCAGTGAAGCCAGGAGGACGGCGCAGCCAGATCTCCTCGTGCAGGGTGCCCTGTAAGAAAGCTGTGCTGAAGTCAAGAGAGTGAAGCTCGTAGTCACGCTGAGCGGCAACGTGCAGCAACACCCGAAGAGTGGTCATCTTTGGGGTAGGGGAGAAGGTCTGGAAGAAGTCAACTCCCTGTCGCTGACTGAAGCCTCGTGCAACGTAACGAGCTGGCGGAGAACCCGGCGGCCGCTTCACCCTGAAAATCTACATGCCATCGACTATGTTCGCCCCAGGAGGGGGAACTGCATCGACGTAAGTGCCTGTGGACTTCCAAGATGCCATCTCTGCGTCCATGGCTGTTTGCCACTGAGAGGATTAGGGACCCGTATTTGCCTCTATGTAAGAGCGCGGGGTCGGGATGTCTAGTGCATCTGGGTCTCCCTCAGGTGCAAGCAGCATGGCTACGAGATGAGGTAGAGCAGCTTCAAGAGACTCTAAGTCCTCTTGCCTGTCCTGAAGGACGTCCGTGCCAAGAGCACACTCACCCCCGATGGACGGAGGACAGACAGACTCAGACTCAACAACAAGACTAGCGGCGTAGTCGAGACGACAGGCAGCAGCAAAGTCAACAAGCTTAGCAACTAAGGCAGACGTAGTAGTGGACTCAGACGAACGAGGGGTCAGTGACAACAGTGGCTAGCAGACGCGTGACAGTAGGGCTGGCAGCACGAACCAAGTCAGACTCAGGGTCCGGAACGTCAGGAAGAGAGGACGCCGGAGGAGACGGCAGGAGAATGCGAAGTGGAATAGAGGAAGGACGAAGTGCCATAGTGTGAGTACCTGGCACAGGGGGAGGACGAGGACGAGGGACACGACGGCCAGTGCGAGTAGGCGTGACAGGACGAGACGCAGGCTCACGACGCTCTCTAAGGGAGGTTGGTTGCTCAGTGTAAGGAGGAGGGGCAGGCAGCGGTGAGTCTGGCTGTAACGGCGGAGTGGACGAAGGAAGACTAAGAACCTGACTTAGTGCCGAGGCAGGCAGTAGTAGTGACAGCTGCGGCGGCGGCAAGAAAAACGGGCGCTGCTGAACAGTACCTCCAACACTAGTAGCGCCTCCAGCTCCAGTGCCTCCAGCACCAGCACCGCCAGCTCCATGACCTCTAGCACCAGCGCCTCCATCTCTAGGGCCTCCAGCTCCAGCGCCTCCAGCTCCAGTGCCTCCAGCTCCAGCGCCTCTAGCTCCAGCGCCTCCAGCTCCAGTGCCTCCAGCTCCTGGGCCGCAAGCTACAGCGCCTCCAGCTGCAGCGGCGCCGTCATCAGTGCCTCCAGCGGCAGGGCCTCCAACTCCAGCAGCGCCACTCCGAAGGTAGGTGCACTGAGCAAACAACTTGCGCAGCTGCTGTGGTGAGAGAGGCTCCCGCCGGCTAGACCGCTGCGGCGAGGCACCCGTAGGACCTCCAGCAGACGCAGTACCCCTTGGCGCAACACCCCCAGACTCAGTACCCTCTGGCTCGACACCTCAGCACCTCCAGGGTCAACACCTCCAGACTCAGTACCCCTAGGCTCAGCACCCCCAGGCTCAGCACCCCCAGGCTCCGCACCCCCAGACTCAGCACCCTCAGGCTCAGCACCCCCAGGCTCAGCACCCCCAGGCTCCGCACCCCTAGGCTCAGCACCCCCAGACTCAGCACCCCCAGGCTCCGCACACTCAGGCTCAGCACCCCCAGGCTCCGCACTCTCAGGCTCAGCACCCCCAGGCTCCGCACCCCCAGGCTCCACACCCCCAGGCTCAGCACCCCTAGCAGCACCACCCCCAGCAGCAGTAGAGTCGACAGCAACCGGCTGCATAGGCGGCGAAGACGGTCCAGGTGGAAAACCCGAAGGGGTCTCCAAGCATGGTGAGCGGCGGGGGGCCACCGCGTCGTCAGCAGCAACGTCACCCCCCTCAGCTGGGCCAGAGGTGTCGGAAGTGACCTCCAAAGGCTCAGCCAAGGGGAGTGGGTCTACCTGAGACACACCTGAAGGAGCAGGACCCTTAGGGGGGAGGGGGTCTATTGGAGGGGGACCTGGAGCGAGGAAGAGCGGCGGGGGGGGGGGGGGGGGGGGGGGGGGGGGGAGAGGGGCTATGCGGTAGGGGAAGAGACGGTAAAAGGGAACCGACTCGTCAAACGTGACGTCCAGAGAGGGCAAGACAAGGCGCGAGGTATGGTGGTAAAACTGCCAGCCAGGCGCATCAGGAGGAAAGCCAAGGAAGACACAGGGAATGGCGCGGGAGGAGAGCTTGTCCGCGGAGGTATCGCGGACAAAGGCACGAGAGCCCCAGACCCGGAAC